AGCCGAGCTCTGAACCTTTGGGATAATTATAAGAAGCAATGTTCCCCAAATTGGCGCGTTAGTCGCGGCATCCCACCCGGTCCTGTGGGAAGTTGTGACGGTCAAACTTACAAGTGGGGGCAAATGAAACACGTATGTATTGTTGTGGAGTCAAGTCGGCGGTTTAGATTAAAAGTTTGGTGCATAAGGACACTGATATGCTCGAATTGGCCCTACTAACTTTTTCATTTCGGCTCACTTAACATGCAATAAGGCATTTTTTTATAATCCTCAATGTAACGATGTATTACATTTACAACTTTGCTAGATTACACCAGTCTTATTTAGTATAGCAGTTCAAAAAGCACTAAATTGGCACCCGTTTTGTTTCAACTTTAGTTCATTAGATACTTTCGTTTAAGTCGGGAAAAGTTGTAGGTACTCGACGCGTTTACTAACTACGGTTAAACTTCTGAAGCTGCAAAATGACCATGCTTTACGTTATCACCATTATCTAAAACTTTATACACCTCTCGTTTCAACTAGAACGTTGAAGTTTCAAGATTTTCATGGTTTCTAAACCGTCCACTTTGTTCTTTAAAATAGCCACAAACAGGTGAACTCAAAGCGGTAAATGACTACGTTAAAAAACTAACGCACCAACGAGAGTGGTTAGAGTTATTTTAAATATTCAAGCAGTTAATTTTTTGTCTGGCCACCGCAGATTCTGCTCTCGGAATTATTTCACTGAGCCAACATTTGCGGTGGAAATAAAAATCTACGTTACCCCTCTGGGATGTTGGTAGGTAGGTACCGCAAACTACAATTAACAGTTTTCTGGTCGCCTCTGGGGAGTACATCAGCATTTTCGGCCAAGCTCGCAGTTCGGCTTTACGGCTGCAATACAATTCGGCTGCTGCAGCTGTTTTTACGGGCCCGCTGGCCGAAAACGGGAAAATAAAAGGCACTTCTATTCTACGGCCACATAAATGTCCACACCTCGGACGGCGCCGTGACAAACGTTTTACAGTACATATTTAGCCTTCACTAGAATTGTATTTCTATTCTTTAGTTAGTTATTTTTTCCATTCATCTAGGAACAAATGGCTATGTCTTGTGTTTGAAAATCTTTATTTAATTGTCATTAAAGCTTTAATTAAACGCTCATTTATCAGTTTTTCTACCAGATAAATAGCTATTTACTTAGTTACAACCATATTATTTAGTAGGTCTATTGCTATATGCATTGCTAATTTGTCTATATGGTAGAAAAACTGATATAGTAGTTCAACAATCAGCAGTAAGTATTTCCACTTATCTAATTGTATGTTTATTTCACGGTACTCTATTACTCTACCCATCGAATCCGCTGTAGTGTAATGACCGATCTAAATATTCGCGTAATAAAAACAGCGTCAGTATAAAAATCGCATCAGTTGGAATAAGTTTTAGTGAGTCGTAAAGTTGGTGAGCGGACGTATAGATAGACTTGTGCGGACGTGCTCCGCTCTGAGCTAGGGCTGCCTCGATTTAATATTGATTTGAAACATAAATACGAATAACCTATCGATAACGGTTAGAACCGGGATTCTGCTTTGCTGGACTAGTAATGGAACATAGAGCACTTTATGGCCAATGATTGCGTGAGCTCCCCCAGATCATGTATTTTTGAGCTGATGTAATATTCCTTTTCGATTCGAAACCACTTCGCAGCTTTCTACAAAATGATAGTTGTAAGTACGACTCTATTAAATACAAATTAATGTTATGTTGCCCAACAGCAGGCTTAGTCACATGTCGAAGAAACTAAGAAGTGTCATCATTCTCTCTCAGTCAGGTTTTTCATTATTTTATTTTGCAACATTGCGATAAAACTCTATATTTTGAGGACGATTGTCATGTAAAGATTAATTTTTGACTGATTATTTATTTTTGACTTCGTACAGCCTCTATTACTTATTTACAAACATGCCAATATTGAACATAACAAGCCCTTCGCAGCCCAATCCGTCTTTTGCCATCAACTCGAAGTATCCATGGTCCGGAATGTCCTCGAGGCAGCCCTACTTGGCAGCCGCCCAACAGCACTCTATCGTATCGGCGCAGGGCGTCTTCTGAAACTATTAACAAATTATCTTTTGCTCCTCGCGGCCGTCCTCAGCAATTTTTCTATCGTGAACATACTTTCGGTATGTCTGTACTTGTATTAAGTTGAGAACTAAGTACGCTAATCATTTAGTAGTAGTGGCAGTAAATAAATAAATATCCTTGGACATTTTACACTGCACTTCTAGTCCCAAACTAAGCAAAGTTTGTACTATGGGTACTTTCTAGTAGTTTCTAGAAGTCAAGTCGATGGGACTCCTAGCAATTTTGAGTTCAGTTTCTTAAAAATTCAACGGATTCGAACTAAATACTTCTAGTTTCTTTTTACAGACTTCTACAAACATTAGATACGACTGAGTTACTTGAATTTACTTCAGTTTAAAATTTACTTTAGTGTAAAAATATGTTGGCTTTAAAACTATGGGGCTTGCAACACCATTAGGTGCCATTATAAACCTTATTTATTCTAATGTAGTACACTTGTACGTACAGTAATAAAAAGAAGACTATTTTTACTACTTCACTCAGCCACACTCAACACGGTCATACCAGTAGCTGATTACTCATAAACTTTTAGCCATATCTTTTATGCCAGATAAATATGATCCTCTTCTTAACCATAAAAACGTATGTAACGCCAACAACATAGCAGAGAAATGATGATTGATAATGCGTCTGAATGTTTTTATTGTAAGTAGAAAATTAACTTAATAACAAAAAATATAACGCTTCTAATTTTTTTCGAAGAGGCGTCCTACATGTATAGAAGCTGGAAACGTTGAATTTTCGGATAGATCCAGTTTATTCTGTAAGATAGAACTTAATAAGCACTTCCTGGATCAGAAACTATAGTTTTCGATATCTTGTATAGTCCTACTAATATTATAAATGCGAAAGTTTGTGTGGATGTCTGGATGTTTGTTACTCTTTCACGCAAAAACTACTGAACGGATTTTGATGAAACTTTACAGTATTATTTTTTATAACCCAGAATAACTATAGGCTATAATTTATGACGATCTGTGAAAAACTAAATTTCACGCGGGTGAAGCCGCGGGCAAAAGCTAGTTTAGAAATAATCGAGTGAGATCGTTTCCACCCTATAATACTCGTAACGTAAAATATGCACTGAATAGCAATGGTAGGTAATATGTATTCCTCGAACTTAGAAAATTACGAGATCATTTATAATTTTCGGAAATGGGAATGAACTGATGCGTTTTGGTACAGCGACGAAATATTTTAGTGTTAGGCTGTATATTTCGGGTAACTACATTTTAGTGTGAATATTTCGGATAGTGATACCTAATGAGTGCATTCACAGATTTAAGCTCACTGTGGGACAAATTCTGCACATGATAATGCCGCTAGTTTCACACATTTTCGGCGACTGGCGACACGTGGGCTTAATTAATATTGTTTTGAAGCTTTATGTCATTTAAACAATTTTTAGGATGATTTTGTAGATCCAGCGATTTATATTCCTGTGTCCGAACTCAACCTCCACTAGTTTATTGTATACTTGTCTTTCTCAACAAATCCTACACTCTTTTATAACAGAATATCTTACAAATAATACTTGTAAGTACGTAATCGTAAAGAAAATAGTATTGAAAGTCAAAAACAAATCTAGAGCTTTTTGTCAGCAATCTAATTAATCCGTTCCATCATGGTAGCAAAAAATATTTTGGGTATTTGTCTTATTTATTCGTTGTCAATTGGCCTTATGTGGTTCCATGATCACTGGAAAATTAATGTCACTGCAGCTTCCACGATGCGAGCGTGTCGCGGTTTCGCGGGCCATCGGTGAGCTCGCGCATTGCGGTGGCTCTCGCTGGGACATGCTCGATTATGAAATCGTCATTGAATTCATTCCACAGAGCATTCATAAAAGAGTGGTGTAGGTATGATGTTTTATAGCGGCATTAAAACTTTTCAAACAATACGCAATATAATAAAAGCGATGGCTTCCGATAGTTTTTTAAATGCAATTGAAATAAAAGCTGTGAATGATTTTATCTAAATCTAATATTTTTTACTGCTCATAGTCAGATTCGGAATATGGTCCAATATATGCATTGTGCAATAAAAGCACTATTCACAATGAGGATTTATTGGAAAACTTTTTTCAGGAAATCCTTATTGTGATTCACTGAAAAATGGACAACTGAAATGTTTCTGTTCGATCAAAATAACTAAACTTTGGATGAGAGCAAATATTTTTACTTTGCTATCGGTTTAGCTACACTTTAGTAGTTTGTAGGTTGAATAACAAGATAAAGTCAAAGACTGTCCTCGTACCATGATAATCAGTCAAAATTTTACTAGGTATCTACGTACCTCAAATTAGTTGACAATATTCCATTCCACTGGTACCTACCTGGACCTATTTTATTCTTCTTTTTGTCGTGTCGTCAGCAAACCTACACAGTGTCAGCCCAAAACTCCGCCACAAGAGTGGCGTTGTCAGAGCCTTCATTAAATCTTCCTGCGTGCAGTTGTTTGGGCACGCAGGGCACGACATCATGTGCTTCGTCGACTAGGAAACAAAACCACACTTAGGTACACTCCAAGTTTGAGCCATCCAAGAATCCCCACTTGAACAGATTGTCCTTACTACGTACTAGGGATGTTATAGATATGTAGTTTCGGTTATGGATACGGTTACGGATATCCATACAAGAATGCATGGTAAATTCAGTGAACTGCTCCTGAATCGAATGTATCTACTACTGCTATTTCTATTTATTTATTAACCGGCAGACAGTGGTGACTGAGTTTGTTGCGGCGCTTCTTCTCAGCACTTGGCAAATGTTGGTCTCGAAGCGCTGGTAGGGTAAAAAGATTATGAGACATGTAGAGGGGCGCGGTGGCGGGTGCGCACGCGGCGGCGGCGGCGGCGGCGGCGGCGGCGCATGCACGCCACCGGCCACACGGACCGCTCGGGCGGCGGCGGCGGCGGCGGCTCCTGGCGCCTCCCGCCCGACGAGACGCTCCAAGTCGCCGACCCCAAGTCTGCCAAGGAAGAGGTATGCCACGATTATTTCGTCTATCATCATCATCGTCACAGCCACAGGACGTCCACTGCTGAACATAGGCCTCCCCCAATGACTTCCACATTGCCCGGTTGGTAGCGGCCTGCATCCAGCGCTTTATGAGATCGTCGGTCCACCTTGTCCCACGCTGCGATATCCGGTACGTGGCCTCCATTCCAGAACCTTGCTTCCCCATCGGACGTCAATTCTGTTTATGTTCTGTCAGTATTTCGTCTAGTTTTCTCCTAATATCTGCAACTGATAGAGTCGTGACGTCAGTTTAATGTCAAACTTAGGCTGAATTGCGCATTGAAGGCTTATATTGCCCTCCGGAGCATGGTTGGTGGGTGCTTAATACAGAGTTTTTCATGCGGTTAAAAGTAAGCATGGTTGGTGGGTGCTTAATACAAAGTTTTCCATGCGATTAAAAGTAGTTAGTTAATCTAAATATGTATATAAAAGGAGAAACTGACTGACTGACTGACAGATCAACGCACAGCCTAAACGGCTAAACGTAGGCACTTGAAATTTGGAAGGGACGTAGCTTAGGTACCATAGAGGTGCACTAAGAAAGGAATTCCCGAAATTCCCACGTGAACGGGAATTAGCGGGAAAAACGGGATTCACGCGTACGAAGTCGCGGGCGGCCGCTAGTCATCTATAATCGTCAAAAAAATTACTAATAGTTGTTACTTAATTACGTAAGATGATGAAAATTCTTAATAGAAAATACCTAAAAAATAAGATTGAAGTTGGATGTTAAAGTAAATGTAACCTACTTATGAAATAAGATTGAACTTTCATCTATTTATTCAACCTTTTCACTTTATTAGCAATAAATATGTACCTACTGCTATCTAGTGCTAGTAACACACAATTGTCAATATTTAAATGCAATTGAATATTGCGAACTAGAGCGTGCATGAATACAAAATGCAGGATAAACCCGAAACCTGCCTGTTACGGATAAATTTTACTAGTGTTCTAGTTACGAATACAATCCTACTTACTCGTATGCGTCCAATTTAGAATTGTACAGCTCCCTTAATAGAATTTATTTCGTAAATTTATCTAATATCCAATAGATCCACTATTAAAAGTTTTGCTCTTTTTCGCCTAATATCCAATAGGTCCACTATAAAAAGTTTTGCTCTTTTTCTCAGTATAATTAAAACTCTTATCTTTTAGAAGAATGAAAGCAAAACAAAAGTGAAGCGTCAAGTTTTATCGCCACTGCGCTCGGAGTAAACTGAACGTTGAAGTTCTGATTCCACGCTGATGAAACGGCGCGCGGATTTACATAATGTCACCAGAATCGACACCTCTGTAAATCATATTCTGATTTCAAAGGATGTTTTTCGCATCAGATATGTCTTAGGCAAATACACACCGCGTTACCGTGATGCTAAGGAAGCTTTGAATTTTTTTGATAAGTATAAACGACATTGATGCGGAAAAAGCATAAAACCAATGCCTTCTCTGTGTTGTTAAGAGGCTCATAACCAACAGACGAGTACCTTATGATTACCAAACTTGAAAAAAATCGTCTCATGTGTAAGTCTATGTAGGTGTACTGTTTTATGCAGGCATATATCTCGCTTATTTACTATTCTAGATTCGGCAAAATTCTCTTTGTTCAAACAGTTGGAAATATACATAAACATCTTGCTTCATTCCACGATGTGTTCTAAAGATAACATTCTTATTTTCAGGATCTCTACCAAGGAGATGGGCACAACTGGAGAAGCATCATATTTTCATTGATGGTCATCAGTTTTGTGATAGCCGGTATCGTTACAGCTATTTATTTATTAGGGTAAGTTCTGTCTTCTTCTTATTCGAATAAAACCGATGCTGTTTATGATAAGCTATTTAGTATAAGCCAGCCATTTTTAAGCAAGCACCGAGTTTTCAATTAGCTTTAAAATTAGATTTTTAGTAGCTCTGAAATCCATATTTTTCATTAAATTGAGTTCGCAACCTGATGACGTCATATTCCCCACTGCATGCGCAAGCATTACCTAGAGAGAGATTCCCGTTTTGCCAGCTCATAAAAGAATGATCATTGACAGGGTGTCCACTAATATTTTATCGATCTTAAGGAGTAGACGAAAAGGGCTCTCATTCCAAATGAATTCGCCAGATATGTGGACGAGTTACTCTACTGGTCGGGGCGGCGCATGCGGCTAGACGAGTTCCTGCGCGGAGACTTGACAGGCGAGCGGCTGCCGACCACGTGGGTCAGCTCGCACCAGCTCGTGTACCAGGCAGACGACGGCGGTCTACTAGCGCTCGATACCTTCAACAACACGCTCTCTGTGCTCGTCACGAATCATACTTTAGTAAGTTATTAATAATAGTATTTTTAAAAGGTTTATTAACACTTGAGATGTGAAGACCACGTGGGTCAGCTCGCACCAGCTCGTGTACCAGGCCGACGACGACGGAAATTCATTAACACCCTCTCTGTGCTCATCACGAACCACACTCCTAGTAAGTATACAATTATAGTAGCGTAAAGGTTTAATTTGAGACATGTGAAGACCACGTGGACCAGCTCGCATCAGCTCGTGTACCAGGCGGACGACGGCGGTCTGCTAGCGCTAGATACCTTCAACAACACGCTCTCTGTGCTCGTCACGAATCATACTTTAGTAAGTATGCACTAGTATCTCATAAAAGGTTTATTTGAGATGTGAAGACCACTCACGTGGGTCAGCTCGCACCAGCTCGTGTACCAGGCAGACGACGGCGGTCTACTAGCGCTCGATACCTTCAACAACACGCTCTCTGTGCTCGTCACGAATCATACTTTAGTAAGTTATTAATAATAGTATCTTTAAAAGGTTTATTAACACTTGAGATGTGAAGACCACGTGGGTCAGCTCGCACCAGCTCGTGTACCAGGTCGACGACGGCTCTCTGTGCTCGTCACGAACCACACTTTAGTAAGTTTACAATGCTATTCTCCTACACTACTAAGACGAAGACTATGAAGACTGTCATATGTGGGTCAGCTCGCACCATCTCGTACCAGGCCGACGACGGCGGCCTTTGACCTTCAACAACACGCTCACTGTGCTCGTGATGAACCACACTCTAGTGAGTAAATGCAATGGTTTAATTTGAGGTAGGTATTTGAAGACCACATGGGTCAGCTCGCACGAGCTCGTGTACCAGGCCGACGACTGCGGACTACTAGCGCTCGATACCTTCAACAACACGCTCTCTATGTTCGTCACTAATCACACTCTAGTAAGTTTGTAATGCTATTCTCCTACACTACTATTTGAGATTTGTGAAGACCACGTGGTGGGTCAGCTCGCACCAGCTCGTGTACCAGGCCGACGATGGCGGTCTACTAGCGCTCGATACCTTCAACAACACGCTCTCTGTGCTTGACACGAACCATACTTTAGTAAGTATGCACTAGTAGGTATCTCATAAAAGGTTTATTTGAGATGTGAAGACCACTCATGTGGGTCAGCTCGCACCAGCTCGTGTACCAGGCCGACGACGGCGGTCTACTGGCGCTAGATACCTTCAACAACACGCTCTCTGTGGTCGTCACAAACCATACTTTAGTAAGTGTAATATGCTATTCTCCTACACTACTAAGACGAAGACTACGAAGACTATCATATGTGGGTCAGCTCGCACCATCTCGTACCAGGCCGACGACGGCGGCCTTTGACCTTCAACAACACGCTCTCTGTGCTCGTGACGAACCACACTCTAGTGAGTAAATGCAATGGTTTAATTTGAAGTAGGTATTTGAAGACCACATGGGTCAGCTCGCACCAGCTCGTGTACCAGGCCGACGACTGCGGACTACTAGCGCTCGATACCTTCAACAACACGCTCTCTATGTTCGTCACTAATCACACTCTAGTAAGTTTGTAATGCTATTCTCCTACACTACAATTTGAGATTTGTTAAGACCACGTGGGTCAGCTCGCACCAGCTTGTGTAACAGGCCGACGACGGCGGACTGCTGGCGCTCGATACCTTCAACAACTCCCTCTCTGTGCTCGTCACGAACCACACTCTAGTGAGTATGCACTAGTATCTCGTAAAAGGTTCATTTGAGATGTGAAGATCACATTGGGCAGTTCGCACCAACTCATGTACCAGGCGGACGACTGCTGGCGCTAGATAACTTCAACAACACCCTCTCTGTGCTCGTCACGAACCACACTCTAGTGAGTAAAGCTCTTGATTCGAGACATGTTTAATTAAGGATGAATTATGTTTATGTTACGGCTAAAGATAGGTGTGAACATAAACTTAAGATTAGCCGGCTAAACTTAAGTTTATCTTCGACGAGGTGTTAATGTTAGTTTCTTCTATCTTTAGCCGGCTAAACTTAAGTGTAACCGCAGGCCCTTGGCTAAAAATGTAGAAGGAAATCGAAAAGGAAACAATGTAATAATGTTTACTATTTTGACACGAAAACTTTATTAAAAAATAATCACTTTCATTACACATACTTTTATGTACCTATGTAGGTATTCAAAATTACAATTATTACAATAACAAAATATTAATTACTCAAAACAAAATCTACCTAATAATTAAAATAAAATAATAAGGAACCATTTGGTCGTTACAGAATCTTCTGTAGGTATTTAAAATTACAAAATGCGCGTTGTCTCCCCACCGCCCCCTCAAGCCCTCCGCTGGCCTGGCGCGCCCATCGAATACATTTTTAGCCGTTTCGTTTTGGCTAATGTGCACATTAGCTGGCTAAAGATGGAATATCACGACGCAAACTAACATGTTATCGAACTTTAGCCGCTTCTCGAAGATAAACTTAAGTTTAGCCGGCTAATCTTAAGTTTATGTTCACACCTATCTTTAGCCGTAACATTTATACCACGTGGGTCAGGTCGTATCAGCTCGTGTACCAGGCCGACGACGGCGGTCTGCTGGCGCTAGATACCTTCAACAACACGCTCTCTGTGCTCGTCACGAACCATACTTTAGTAAGTATGCAGGTTCTATATTGGCTCACATAAAATTCTAAATCCTATTCTTTGTCTTACTACCGATTTGTGTTCATAATAATCTCTCTTCATAATTTTATTTTTCATACTTTTTTTATTCATACATTTTTATTACTACCATCGGAGCTCATAACAGTTAGTAATCATAATTTTTTTATCAATACTGTTACTACCAAGAACCATTTAAAATACATAATTTTTATTTTCAGATCTTTTTTCTTCATAACATTCATTGATCATATTGTTTTAATTAATAATGTTGTTACTAAGAACATACTTCAACTCATAATGTTGTTGTTCAGAATAATTTACTTTATAACACACATACTCGTATCTTTAAAAAAATCATATATAATTTAATAGAGTAGATAAGCATGCAGAGCATGCAGCATGAAAGCAAGCATGCAGCATGCATTGGTATCTCCTCGTCTCCGGCGCTGCGGGATGTGCAGCCCTTCCGCCCTTGCGTAACGAGGCTCAGGCACCCACGCTTGCTTCCGCAGCTTCGGCTTTTTGGATCGCCATCGGCGCCTTCGGCGCCTCGGCGACCAGCCTCAGCCGCTCCAGCTCACCCGGGCGCCTGAGCCTCGTTACAGCGGGCGAGGGCTGCCCTCCCTCCGCGCCTCCGGCTTTTAAATTACACTCTAGGGGTAGGGCAGACAAGACTACGTGGAGTCGGTTTTGCAGCGATTCGTTTCTGTCACGTTAGTTTTGTGGCACAAAATATTGGCTGCCCTCCCTCCGCGCCTCCGGCTTTTAAATTACACTCTAGGGGTAGGGCAGACAAGACTACGTGGAGTCGGTTTTGGAGCGATTCGTTTCTGTCACGTTAGTTTTGTGGCACAAAATATTGCCTGTTTTGGACCATTTCAAATTAATTTAATGTTAAAATACGATTTAATACGAATATAGACATCATGGTTTTCAATAATATGGAATACACGTATGAGTAATCAGTTTATGAAAACAAATATTAGGATACATCACATTTATGAATATTATAGTTATTTATTCGAATGATTATGAGTTTCGATCATTAGTATAGAAAAATATATGAAAACAAATATTAGTAAAAACTAAGTGTATGATTAGTGATATTATGAATATCAATGATTATGTTTTTAAATATGTAGGTTTTAAATTTTTTATGAAGAATGATCATTATGGTATCAAATTGTATGAGAAATATTTTCGGACCTCCAATGATAGGAATTAAAAAGTTATGTAAGAAAATGCGCTACCAGTATGCACTAGTATCTCATAAAAGGTTCATTTGAGATAAGAAGATCACATGGGGCAGTTCGCAATAACTTATGTACCAGGCCGACGACGGCGGTTTCTTGGCCGATACCTTCAACAATACGTTCTATGTGCTCATCACGAACCATACCTTTAGTGAGTCAAATGAAATAGTATAATCCCAACAAAACACCATCTCCAACAATAACACTCTCTGATTTCTCAAATCTACTATCCATGGTGGATAGAAAGTTTGATATGAGATCTATTCAACGAAGTCTTTTTGCTACAAACCCCATAGAATTTTTAATCATGCTTGAGCTAATGTGAAAACCACGTGAGAGATACATACAAAGACGAAAGAGATATCGAACCTCATGAAGTTGAACATCAGATAACGATAGATTCCTAGACCTAAAACCTTTTACGAAAACCACACTATAAGTATCTGTCACAACTCGCAATAACGACACTCAAGTAACATTAACCATTTTCGGTTGCTACACAATAATTTATATCACAAAATGCACAGAAAAATTAATTTAAACTTCGAGTAAACATCCGTTTCAAAATTAAATTTCCAGCGTTGGAAAAATATTATTTTCACTTCCGTTTATACTCGTTCCAAAGCGGATATCTACGCCCGTGTTACTAAATGCATGTTCAACAAACTACCTAATCCTTAAATCCGTCGTGCTAACTACTGCCGTTTGTGTGAGATTCTGTGGCCACAAGCAAACCAACCGAAAACATAACAGACGAAAAACGTTATTATTATATGATTTTCTATTAAATATTCCATTTAGTTTAATAAAGTACGCGCCTGTCGCACCTAAACGTTGTGAATCTTTAAAAGTCGTCCTCATTTAGAAACACAAACAGTCTTTAATTAAGATCGTTAAACAAAATGTAGATGTCGCAGTCAGATTGTATAATCCGCCGTTTTACATTACAGCTAGGCATTTTGCATTACAGCTCTGTTTTGTAATACGGCGGATTAACGTTTAGCCGGATTGAATACGGCTGAATGAAAATCCGCCGGAATGTATTCGGCGCCAAACGTTCTTCAATACGGCTAGCCGTAATGTAAAACAGCGTGTCATTACCTGCCGCTTTGACAGTTTTTAGTTCCTATTTTCAATACCGTGGCGCTGCCGGACAAAGTGGCTATGGATTCTGGTGTTCGGCGGAATCCTACACAATATTAATAGTGTAAAAATATGAAATCATGGCTGTGGCCGGTGAAGATAATTTTATCTTAAAGAAAAATAAACCAGAAAAAATGACTAAAACTTTATTGTTTTGAGTTACCTGTTTGTTCCCTTTGATAATTTTAATGTCTAAAAAAGACTAAAGCCAAATATTTAATTAATTCTTAAAATGTTTAGAAAAGTCTAATTGTTTTGAGTTACTTTTTTTAGATGGCTATCCCTTGTGATTTATAAATAAGTAAAAAAAAAACTACTGAAGCCAAATATATTATTTAGTATACAGTAACGAAGGTAATAATTCTTAAAATCTGTCTTATTAAAATTTATTTTCATTACACATTGTTTTATTTTATAAGTATGGTCACCCTACAATCTATAGTAGTACGATGCGGCTAAACGTGGGCCGCCGTATTGAAGAACGTATCGCAATGACAATCCGCCTAAACGTTGAACCGCCGTATTACAAAACAGAGCTGTAATGTAAAATGCCTAGTGGTAATGTAAAACGGCGGATTATACAATCCGACTGCGACATAGATACCACCGCGATAGGCGGCAAAGATTGCCGCCCGAAGTTTCCCGACGACTTTATTAAAAGCCGAAGTTGCCAGCCGAACTGAAATGAATACTGTTTTATTACAGAGGCAACTGAATGTTCGCGGATACCAGTGCTCGCCCAACTTGCGTTACGTTCTCTTCCAACACAATATCAAGGAGGTACGTACCGATTGAGCCGTAAAACTTTTAATAGGTTTTTTACAAAATAAACAAGACGGTCGTTAGGAAGTTTGCTCTCGAATCGACGATTCTATTTGACTTTTATTATTTACAGGTTTATCATCGGACGTTTACAGCGCACTACACCGTTTATGACGTCACAAATGAGTGAGTAACTTTTGATATTTGACGCTTGAACGCCATAAAGGTCGCTGAAAGACCCTCGAGATGCTCATAATTGTATTTCCGCCTGAAAATTGAATTTCTGAATCGCAAATTGGTTTTCACTCACCGCACCTTGGCGAACGCCATTTGGTAACGATATTACCTCAACTGACAGGAGCCATTCTCCCTTCATTTGAGCAAAAGAAATGTACTTAGAGGGCATTATAAGTTTTACTGGCTATTGTCTGTAAGAACCGCTACTAGGTATGCCTACACACGTGGAACACTATTTTCCTCTATTAACCTCTACTTATTTTCCTCTTTAATCAAGAGTTTTCGAAAAATATAGTGTACTTACGGCGTACCTTTTACTTCAATTTATATCTAGTGCTTAATTTTCTTTACTTTAAACCTTAATTTCCTTTTCATAAGGAAGAAGTCAATATGTTGAAGATAAAATAAGTAAACACCCATTATAAGTACAACTATTTTGTGCTGTTCAACTAAATTGCACGACATCTGTCGAGAAGCACAATAAATGTCGTCGACGGGCCCGATTCCCGTTTCCCTCTTGGAGTAATATAAAATATCGTCACGATCTCGATACATTTCCTATATTTTATTTAACGCGGAGGCGGAATTTTGTAGATGTCTAATAACATTTTGCTGCGTTCGTTAAGTGAAAAATTTTTTTTTTTCATATTTTAAATCTTATTCTAGAACAACTACTTGCTACTTCCACTTGTAAAGCGATTATGTAAACATTCTGCTCCAAAAATACGCAAAAACACTTTTCACAATAAAATGTTTCCAATTTTATTCCCCTCTCATTAACTGTTTCCTACGTACTTTACAAACTACGTCGTATCCCATTTCCCTGTTTCATTGCACGACTTTGCATAGTTTTAAAAGGCGTCTCCGCCAGGCAAATAGCTTTAAAAAGGCAATTTTAAAGTCTTTACTCCCGGTTTGTTTTCTGTCTTTCAAATCATATCTCGTTTGAGAATTTCCTTTTCCCAGCGCTTTCTCGGGTGAAGAAATCGATTTGGCGATAGATACCAACGTGAATACGTTTCTCAATTTATTTAAAAATTTGCGAGTGGAATTTTAATGCGGCCCGAGACGCGTCGACGGACCAAGGCAATACTTTACGTTCTTCAGTGACCGACGTAAACTAAAACTTACTGCACTACAGAGAATCGAGTCGTGAACTTTAAAGAGTTCGTGCCTCGCAAAATAGAGGAGGTTTTCAGATTTATACAAAGTTCCTCTTTTGTTTAGTTGCAAAACTTTTTTAACTTTGGACTCTTTAGAAATTGTTAAGTAACTTAATTAACCGCTAAACGGGGCGCGCTTCTATCAACTTCGGACAGAGAAAGATAACGAGTAGCTGAATGATCTTTTTATTTCTATAATTTGGAAGAAAAAAATTTTCAAATTCAAAATTGGAATTCTTAATTTGAATGTAGCCACCACATTCCACTGTTCGGCGAGGGCCAGCGGAGCTGGGAGTGGCAGCATGCCGCGTGGCTCGGCGCCGACGGCTCCCTGCTTCTGGCGGCGGATAACGAGGTGCTGGCGCGCCCGGGGCCGCCCGCCAAGAGAGCCCCACTGCTCAGGCTTACATATGACGCAATGCCTGGTGCCGTTTACAATGGAGTCTCTGACTGGATGTATCAAGGTAAGCTGATATGTCGCAAAGTGATAATATTGCCATCTTATGCTCAGCGTTAAAGTTTCTATTCTGTCACTGCCTTGATCTTTTCTTTCAGCGTTAAAGTTACTTTTGCAACTTGGGGTTAGGTTTAAAGTTGAAGATAAGGATAAGTGTAATAAATCTAAGACGTTGATTCTACATAGTACCTGATAGTACCCACCATCCATTATGCCTTGAGACTGTTTTAAAATTTAACCTGCTTATTCTTCTGTAACTTACAGAGGAGGTGACAAAAGTATCATCAGCGATGTGGGGCTCGTTCGACGGCACTCTCGTGCTGTACGTGCAGTATGACGACAGCATGGTCTCCGAACTCAAGTTTCCGCGTATTTCCGAAGCCATCGGCGGCACCGGGGCCGCCCGCTCCGGCTTCCTGCTTCCCACCCTCAACAACACAGCTCCGACCATCTTCCCCGACCACATCACTATCAGATACCCCACGGTAATATCTCGACCGAAGGGATCTAGAGTAATGCCAATATAATGCGCTGCTCGTAGAGCTGATGGCCGCTGGGGCAGGAAAGTTTTTGAGCGACCACGAGACGGAAGACGTAGCGTGGGCAGGCCTCCCACTAGGTGGACCGACGATCTGGTGAAGGTCGCGGGAGGTGCCTGGATGCGAGCGGCGCAGAATCGGTCTTCGTGGAAATCCTTGGGGGAGGCCTTTGTCCAGCAGTGGACGTCTTTCGGCTGAAACGAACGATAATGCGCTGAGTTCGAAGCCCAGTGTCGCATTTGAAAATCTCACACACAAAGTAATCAAAATAAAAACAATACCTACGTCGCGAAGAGTGTATCCATTGCGGTATCAGTACTCAACGTTCGAATGTCTTTAGTACTACGCAAGCAATGTAAACTGTTTACACATATAACGTCGCTCCTGTCATCATTGCTGTTGCGAGCAATGTGTTCTGTTTTTGGGCATATTGCTGCGACACTGGCTCCGCCCCCTTTTCGCATCTCTCTTTAGTTTCTGTGATCTGTGATCTCGACCGATTTCCCTACTATAACCACTTACGTTCATAAAGCACTGACACTTGTTGCTCCGTTCCAGCCCGGCAGCTCGATACCGAAAGCGAAGTTATGGATAGTAGGCGTACAGAACTCGACGTCCCCGCCGAGGTGGGAAGTCAAACCTCCGAGCACTTTAGATGGAATGTATGTACCGTTTAATTTGTCACTTAACTTCTTGCAACTTTGCAGAACGACTTACAAAATGTGTTTGAAATTTTCCAGGGAATATTACATCATATCAGCCCAGTGGGTGGGCAAAGAGAATGCACATGTAGGAGTAGTGTGGATGAACCGCGAACAGAATCTAACCGTCTATAGTAGTTGCTATGCTCCTAACTGGACTTGCACTGAGGTACGAGTATGTTTCGATTTTATATCTATTCTTCTTCCTTCCTTTCTTCTTCAGACCTTTCAAGAAATATGTCACATTTTATTTTTCTTTCAGTCTCATTCTGAAAAGGCGACTGATGAGCCGTGGTTAGAGGTTCACCAACAGCCGGTCTATTCAGAAGATGGGAGCGCGTTTCTTCTTCTAGCAGCAGTTCAAGAGGGCGGGGGACAGTACTACACACACATCAAACACGTGGATGTGTTGCGTCAACGCATTGCAGTACTGTCCCATGGCAAAGTTGAAGTGGCAGAAATCCTGGCGTGGGACCAGGAAAACCATTTAGTTTATTATTTAGGTAAGAATTGAAATCATGTTTAAGTCTTAATTAAACTTCTGCCTTGCTTTCTTACTTAACGCTACTTTTGTTTTTATTAAAGGTTTAAACAAGGAAAGGTTATACATACCTAAACTGCATCCCGATATGGTGAAAGAAATAAATCAAATTAAGTATTTAGATTGAGTGCAGTTGAGTGTTTTTCATTTTGTATAACGGTTACGTTACTAACCCAACATGTCTGTCATTCTAATCGATCCTATTCCCGTTCTTTATGTCAGAGGGAAACGCGTGCTGGTGTGATTTTAGGGACATTTTGTTTGACCTGTTTGTATCCTGTGCTTAGATCCCTTTCTAGTTCTACCTGTGTAAATCAGGTTTGATTGATAATTTGTTTGGTGCAGGTAGCGCAGAGCGGCCGGGCCAACGACACGTGTATGTGGTTAGAGACCCGAGCTATGGGGGCGGTAGTAACTCCGTTCGGGCTCGGGCGGAGCGGGAAGAACCGCGGTGCCTTACTTGCGAGCTGGCGGTGTGGCCGGCCCGCCTGCACTACGCCAATTGCTCCTTCTGGAGAGCCACGTTCTCCCCGGCGAAGCCCAGGGTGGGCATCACGCACTATGTGCTCGAGTGCGGAGGCCCTGGACCGCCTCTTGCTGGACTTCATGACGCTAGGACACATAAGCTAGAGAGAATATTATATGACACGAGGCCTTATAGGTAAGCAAGAACCACATTTGTTTTCATCGTCATCATTTCATTTATTTATTTTAGGAAGACCAGGGTTCTCACAACTTTATACCGTAGAACAACTGAGTTGCGAGACTTGGTTTTTTGACAAGTATTGTTTTTGATGAGATTCATTTTCCAATTAATAACACTTGAGAACCACATATGTATAGGTCACTACAGATGTAAAGAAACAAAAACAGATTTCAGCCATAAGACGTCCACTGCTGAACATAGGCTCCCCCAATGATTCCCATAATGTCTGATTGGTAGCGGCCTGCATCCAGCGCCTTCCTTTTCTACCTCTATTAATCTGATAATCCCTAATACGCTCGTTTGAACATTGTTCACCAAGCTTAAAACTTATGTCGTTAGTTTACAAGCGTGGTAACGACCCAATAGATTAGCGCAGTGGCAAAATGCCAGAAGCACCTAATATCACAGCAGTGTCACGATGCAGCACTCACTTAAAATTTTGTTAATGGGCTTGTTTTACTAGACCGCAGCACTTATGAACATAATTTGATGAACCTAGCTAGTTTGATATGAGACTATAGGCTGTAGGTGTGTATAGGCTGGCACTTCATTTTAAAAAACGTAAACAAAGCGCTTCATACGATCAATCATGTAAGGATAATATTGTCTTATGGTTGACTGAAGGTAGAAACTTGAAGTTCCGCAAATCTAGAAAACTTTTTAACTGATTTCATTTATTCATGCCTTTTAATATTAATTAGCTGACATGAATTACATAAAGCCAATTTAATGGCATCAGGCATTCTGTCAGTTAGTTTTAGCTAGTCCTACGAAGGTTATTAATTAAGCACAAACTTCCAGATCGGTACGACTACGCGAGTTGGCTCTCCCGACTCGGCGGTCGTTCGACGTGCAGCTGGGCAGCGGCTCGCGCGCGCGCGTCCAGCTGATGCTGCCGCCGTCCTGGCGCGAGGAGCTGCGCGACGCCGCCTTCCCGGTGCTAGTGCACGTGTAAGTAACGTATACTACAGGTCTAGTGGGTTACTCAGAGAGAATGTCCCTGCGATAGTGGCATGATCCGAGAGGGTAGGAGTGACTTAGGTAGGTACGAATACGCGAGTTGACTCTAGCGTCTTTACGCGTCCAGCTGACGCTGCCGCCGTCGTGGTTAAACAAGTTATAGCACTTAGCTGAATAGATTCCTGCAGTAGTGGGATCGTGCGAAAGTAGAGTGGTGCGAGGAGCTACGCGACGCCGCCTTCCTGTGCTAGTGCACGTGTGCTAATGTGTAATATAAACATACCGCAGGTATAGAGTTTAACTGAGTAGTGGAACGGTGCGGGATGGGAGACATATGACGTCACATCTGAAGCATGTCTGGTGTCTCGTTGACGTTTATGTAATAAAACCACATCTTTCGCACTCCACTACTGCAGAGCAGAAGCCTACACATTACTTAAGTATTTATATCTGCTAAATTAGTAAAAGTCGTGTGCCTGCTGATGATTTTGATAATTGTCAAGTTAAAGTCCCTTGATCTGTAAGAGTCTAGGATGTTCTTTAGAAAGAACGTAGACGTAACGTAAACGCTACAATAGTGGTGTTTTCAAATGCCCCTTGAATTTAAACCCCCTTTTCACATAACAGCCATTTGATCCACACTTTTCTTTCAGAAACGGGCGTCCAGGCAGCCAGCAGGTGACCGAAGAGTTCATGGTGGACTGGGGCTCGTACATGTCGTCGCGCAACGACGTGGTGTACGTGAAGCTGGACGTGGCGGGCGCGCGCGGGCTGCCGCGGGCGCTGCTGCGCGGCCGCCTCGGCGGCGTCGAGGTCGCGGACCAGTTGGCTGTTATTAGGTGAGTGAATAAGAAAAATGGGTGGTTTGTCTTTGTTACCACCACCAGCGGGGTGCCTTTTGGCAACTTTTTGAGCCGTCTGTACGAGAATTCCCCAGCTGTTTTTAGTTGCGCGGCCGGAGCAGGTGAAATGGGCAGTTGACACCACCAGAAGGTTGTCCTTTTGAACTCCAAAATAGGATTGATTCATTAGGGTCCTTCAGTCCTTCTAATTAAACCACGATCCGCGGGCGCTGCTGCGTGGCTAGAGAGACAGAAGTTCGACAACAACAGAAACAACGACGTGGTGTACGTGAAGCTGGACGTGGCGGGCGCGCGCGGCCTGCCGAGGGCGCTGCTGCGCGGCCGCCTCGGCGGCGTCGAGGTCGCGGACCAGTTGGCTGTTATTAGGTGAGCGACCTAAGCGGGAAAAATGAGACCATTTTTTTGAGGCGCTAAAACGTGAATTCCTCAGCTCTTATTAGGTGAGTGACCAATACAGGAAAAACTGGCAGAATTCCGCCAATCATTAGATAAGTACGTTACTTTTTGAGCCGTCAACACGAGAATTCCCCAGTTGCTATTAGTTGAGCGGCTGGAGCAGGTAAAATGGGCAGTTGATACCACCAGAGGGTTGGCATTATGAACTGCCAATATAGGATCCCCCAATCCTTCAGTCCTTCTAATTAAACGATCCGCAGGCGCTCCTGCCCGACCAGATAGGAGCCAGGTAAGTTCCTGGCAGACTGGGGCTCATACACAACGACGTGGTGTACGTGAAGCTGGACGTGGCGGGCGCGCGCGGCCTGCCGCGGGCGCTGCTGTGCGGCCGCCTCGGCGGCATCGAGGTCGCGGACCAGTTGGCTGTTATTAAGTGAGCAGCCGGGGCAAAAAATGGGCACTTAGGCCCAGAACAGACGGTGCAACGCAACTGCAACGAAACTGCAACTGCTAGTTACTTTTGAGTTGCATCTAAGTTTCTGCCATAGCGTCCGTTGAGAGACCACACATGAAGCGACCAGTTTGAAACTTTCAAAGTTAAAAGTTAGCGTCACTTTTTGGGACATCACAACGCGTATTCCCCAGCTGTTATTAGTTGAGTAGCTAACCGGAGAAGGTAAAATGATAGTTAATACCACCAGAAGGTAGGCATTTTGAACTACCAAAATAGGATCCCCCACATCCTATTTTACAGGGTCCTTCAATCCTTCTAATTAAACTACGATCCGCGGTCGCTGCTGCGCGACCAAATAGGAGCCAGGTAAGTTGCTGGCAGACTGGGGCTCATACACAACGACGTAGTGTATGTAAAGCTGGACGTGGCGGGCGCGCGCGGGCTGCCGCGGGCGCAGCTGCGCGGGCGGCTCGGCAGCGTCGAGGTCGCGGACCAGTTGGCTGTTATTAGGTGAGCAACCGGGGCAAAAATGGACACCAAATAGAAAGTTTACGTTTCTTTTTAACCGACTGCGCCAGAAGGAGGGTTATGTTTTTAAGCTGTTAAAACGCAAATTCCGCAGCTCTTATTAGGTGAGCGACCAATACAGGAAAAACCGGTATAATTCTGATTCATACGGGTAGATGATTGGCAGAACTTTTTGAGCCATCAAATCGCGAATTCCTAAGCTGCTATTAGTTGAGCGGCTGGAGCAGGTAAAATGGGCAGTTGATACCACCAGAGGGTTGGCATTATGAACTGCCAATATAGGATCCCCCAATCCTTCAGTCCTTCTAATTAAACGATCCGCAGGCGCTCCTGCCCGACCAGATAGGAGCCAGGTAAGTTCCTGGTAGATGGGGCTCATACACAACGACGTGGTGTACGTGAAGCTGGACGTGGCGGGCGCGCGCGGGCTGCCGCGGGCGCTGCTGCGCGGGCGGCTCGGCGGCGTCGAGGTCGCGGACCAGTTGGCTGTTATTAGGTGAGCAACCGGGGCAAAAAATGGGCACTTGTCGCCACCGCCCGAATGGAGCAGTAAATTTTTGAGCCGTCAAAACGCGAATTCCCCAGCTGTTAGTTAAGCGGCTGCAGCAGGTAAAATTGGCAGTTGATACTTGCCATTCCTGCCAATCACATTTTTCCAATCACACCAAGACATTTTGAACTGCCAAAATAGGTGCCCCCATTAAAATAGTCCTTCAGTCCTTCTAATTAAACTACGATCCACGGTCGCTGCTGCACAACCAGATAAGAGCTAGGTAAGTTCATGGTAGATTGGGGCTCACACACAACGACGTGGTGTACGTGAAGCTGGACGTGGCGGGCGCGCGCGGGCTGCCGCGGGCGCTGCTGCGCGGCTGCCTCGGCGGCGTCGAGGTCGCGGACCAGTTGGCTGTTATTAGGTGAGTGAATAGGAAAAAATGGGTGGTTAGTCTTTGTTACCACCACCAGCGAGGTGGATTTTGGCAAGTTTTTGAGCCGTCAAAACGAGAATTTCCCAGCTGTTTTTAGTTGCGCGGCCGGAGCAGGTGAAATGGGCAGTTGACACCACCAGAAGGTTGTCCTTTTGAACTCCAAAATAGGATTGATTCATTAGGGTCCTTCAGTCCTTCTAATTAAACCACGATCCGCGGGCGCTGCTGCCTGGCTAGAGAGACAGAAGTTCGACAACGACAGAGACAACGACGTGGTGTACGTGAAGCTGGACGTGGCAGGCGCGCGCGGGCTGCCGCGGGCACTGCTGCGCGGGCGGCTCGGCGGCGTCGAGGTCGCGGACCAGTTGGCTGTTATTAGGTGAGCGACCTAAGCGGGAAAAATGAGACCATTTTTTTGAGGCGCTAAAACGTGAATTCCTCAGCTCTTATTAGGTGAGTGACCAATACAGGAAAAACTGGCAGAATTCCGCCAATCATTAGATAAGTACGTTACTTTTTGAGCCGTCAACACGAGAATTCCCCAGTTGCTATTAGTTGAGCGGCTGGAGCAGGTAAAATGGGCAGTTGATACCACCAGAGGGTTGGCATTATGAACTGCCAATATAGGATCCCCCAATCCTTCAGTCCTTCTAATTAAACGATCCGCAGGCGCTCCTGCCCGACCAGATAGGAGCCAGGTAAGTTCCTGGCAGACTGGGGCTCATACACAACGACGTGGTGTACGTGAAGCTGGACGTGGCGGGCGCGCGCGGCCTGCCGCGGGCGCTGCTGTGCGGCCGCCTCGGCGGCATCGAGGTCGCGGACCAGTTGGCTGTTATTAGGTGAGCGAGAGCGACCAAATCGGGAATATAGGGAGTTTACACCACCAGAAGGTTTGAATTTTGAACTAGCAGCGACTGGAGCGGGAAAATAGGTAGTATAAACTAGCAGAAGATTGGCATTTTGAACTGCCAGCCATAGGATTGCTCCATTAGAGTCCTTCTAATTAAACTACGATTCACGGGCGCTGCTGCGCGGGCGGCTCGGCGGCGTCGAGGTCGCGGACCAGTTGGCTGTTATTAGGTGAGCAACCGGGGCAAAAAATGGGCACTTAGCGTCACAATTTGGGCCATCACAACACGAATTCCCCAGCTGTTATTAGTTGAGTAACCGGAGAATGTAAAATGGTAGTTGATACGACCAGAAGGTAGGCGTTTTGAACTGCCAAAATAGAAGTTCCCATTATAAAGGGTCCTTTCACTATAAAATATGCCGCGAGTGAAATCACTAGACGAGAGTTTTGAGCAATGACAAACAGTGGTGATTAGAGTTCGTCAATTTATAATTAAAGAACGAGAAAGGCTTAATAACTAACAGACGTAGCTAATAAAGCTGAATACCTACATTTTGTATTAGCTGCACCTCACTAAGTTAACTCATGAATATTCGTTTTTATTTCCAGATATTTATTAGAGACGTTCAAGTTTCTGGACGTGACCCGCGTGGCGGTGTGGGGCTGGGGCTACGGCGGCTACGTCACGGCCATGCTGCTCGGCTCACAGCAGTCCACGCTCAAGTGCGGGATAGCAGTATCGCCGATCACTGATTGGCTTTATTATAGTTAGTACACACTTTGCTTATGGACACAATTTGATAGAAATGTTTCAATTCTAAAGACCATGTTCTCAGTATAAAAAAAATAGAAGGTTGCAATTGGTTTAATCAAAATCTTTGAGAAACTATGGTGGAATATCAGCACAGTCAGACGACTGTGCAAAACTGCTCAAGCTGTTGAAAACTGCCACACAACAACATTAACGCCCGTATTCACGAACGATACTTGCTTAAGTGAAGCAGCAAATTGAACGCACAGCGTTGAGTAGAGCTCTATGATTGGTTTATGTGTCACCCAGTGCGTCCACGCGCACTGTGAGACCTCATAGTAATGTTTGTGAATACGGGCGTTAGACTTTCCGGACAAGTAAATAACCACAATTTCAACTCATTTTCCAGATGCAGCATTCACGGAGCGCATCCTAGGCCAGCCTTCAGTGAACTATAAAGGCTACGTGGAAGCAGACGCGTCTCAAAGGGCGCACCATGTGCCGCCACACGCGCTGTACCTCATACACGGCATGGCCGACATGAGCGCGCCTTACCCTCACGCCTTGCAGCTGGCTCGGGCGCTGACGGACGCTGGAGTACTGTTCCGATATCAGGTAAGGCTTTGTAAAAGTGGCCATGTCACTAAGAGTACCAGATCAGTTTTTATACACGCACTGTATCTCATACACGGCATGGCCGACATGAGCGCGCTTTAACCTCACGAACTGCACCTGGCTCGAACGCTGACGAACGCTGGAATACAGTTGCTCTTCCGATATCAGGTAAGGCTTTGTAGTGGACAGATTACTGAAAGAGTACCAGATCAGTCTTGCTTGATACACGCACTGTACTTCATACCTGAGTGCGTCTTACCCACACGCACATAGCCATGTGGAAGCGAACGAGTAAGGTAAGTGCCCCCTACTTCGGTATATTAAGGCTCTTACGACTTTAACAATTTATTTAAAAATAACCAAGCATGATATCAGTATGAAAGCTTTTGTATGCTAAACTTTGGTCTTTTGACAGTAACTTAATACATAAATTATAGTTATATTGTTTGAACTTTTTTTAATATTAATTGTTCTGCGGACCTCTTGTTTGGATCCTGTTTCGTGATAAAATTTTGCTCTGTTTCTAAGTTCGTGAACTCATGTCCCCTAATTCGGGATAAAGTTTTACGCATCGAGTTAGGATATTTTAATAATGATTAAGGGTTTAACCAATGTGTGTTACCAGTGATAACTTATGGCTCGGAAACGTGGCCTCTCACTATAGGCCTTATACAGAATATAGAAGCTCAAAGTTGCACAGCGTGCTATGGAGAGGGCTATGCTTGGTGTTTCTTTGCGAGATCGAATCAGAAATGAGGAGATCCGTAAACGAACCAAAGTCGCTGACATAGCCCGACGTATTAGCAAGCTGAAGTGGCAATGGGCAGGGCACATAGTACGCAGAACTGACGGCCGATGGGGCAGAAAGGTTCTGGAATGGAGGCCGCGTACCGGAAAACGCAGCGTGGGACGTCCACCTACAAGGTGGACCGACGACATCGTAAAGGTAGCAGGGAAGCGCTGGACGCAGGCCGCTACCAATCGATCAACATGGAAAGCATTGGGGGAGGCCTATGTTCAGCAGTGGACGTCCTGTGGCTGAAATGATGATGATGATGATGAGGTGTCCCAAACATTTGGAATGTCAAAGGCTCAGTAAAACAAAAACCTTATTCTTATCTCATTTCTTTCCAGGCCTACGCCGACGAAGGCCACGACCTGAAAGGCGTGATCGAGCACGTGTACCGGTCCATGGAGGACTACCTCCGCGAGTGCCTCTCCCTCGACCCCGAGGACACCAAGCTGCCCCCTCCCGACAGATAGAGCAAACAATAACCCAACTACCCCCTTGTTATCTTGCTACACTTTGCAACCCAAACGCCTGAATTTGTGGTAAGTCGTCTGTGTTTCAATATTAGGAGAGGATCTTCCATGTACACGTAACAAAAGCACTTCCAGCGTTACGCGTACTCGTTAAAAGAACTGTATGTAAATATGTACATGAGATAGTGCTTTAATAAAATGTGTTCCCCTGGTTTAGATCGACGCCTCGGCTCGGCGGGCGAGTGGCCATGCGAGGTCTATGTGACTAGATTAAGGATCGTAACTTATGATAATAAGAAGTCCGTTCTGTTACGAAGCATGATATGATGAATTAGCAATAGAAGTTAATTAGGTTCATTTTGTAATGAAGACAAAATTGGGCAGCAACGGATATGGTGTTGTCAGATGCTCTAATTCAATATTACCAGTTAATAGGAAAATTACCGTTAGAAGCATTAACGAACAGAATAAATATGATGTTAATCAAGTATCTATGGGATTATGTACTCAAAGGGTTATTTTGAAGTAGAACATTGGACACCACGTCTAGACTAGTTATTTAAATTGAATATTTCCTCATTCGATCCATGAAACTTCGCTTCAGCACTCTTCGGCTAAACTATCATACTGTGTCTTCTACTTCTAAGTCGAGCCTAGATAGGAAATAAATTCTAAACGGTATGACTCTGGTCATCCACCAGGCAGTCGGCCTGCGTGAACGGGTAAACTTCAGTTGATTGTGATCATACTAAATTATTCATGATAGAACTTCGAGCTTGTCACTTAGGCTTTTTACTGTTTTCTACTGCCACCTTTACTATACCAAGCTTTTTTACCTTCTCTATAGAGGTACGCACTAACAAGTGAATTTGATATAGGAATGAGTTACCCAACCTTCAATGTAAGAATTTAACATCATTGAAAATTTTATGATTATACAATAGTAGCATCGGAATTGAGTTGGATTCTATTGTTGATATTAATACATAATGAGGAGCTTATCATTTAGGGAAATTTACTAGGCCTTTAAAACTGTAGTCGTTTTGTTCGAAAAGACATTTGAAACGTTAAGTTTGATAAAATTATAGTGCTGTTATACCTCATACGACATTGTAGTTAAAATATCCTAATCATATTAAATGTAAATTGATCGAAAGAAACGCATTTTATAGTGACTTATAATGATTAGAAATGAAGTGACCTTGATCATCCCCTAACCTTAGCTGCTTTTGCTCCATCACATCACATTTACTATTCTTCCTAGGCGTAAGAGTTCACATAATAATATCCATACAAACTAACGTTAGACATTCATATCGATCTTATGATACGGTTGATTACTATTTAATATTCAGACGCCAGTCATGGGTGAAATCAATGCTGAAAATATTTATTAATTTCGAAAAGGACATTAAACGAAATAACTAAACATCTAATACTTGTAGTCGGTGAATATTGTTTCACTGTAGGACTCAAAACTGATATATTTTGAGTAATAAGCTTGTACAAAATAGTTTTTAATTGAGCTAGAAAATTTGCCTTTCTGATAGATATTTCAGCGAACGTAGGCAGTCACCAAGTTAGTATGTAAACTATTGAAATTGGAAAATTAAATATCTCGTTGGAACTTTTGAACATAATAAATATTTGACTTGTATCAAGTCAAAGGGTGGAAAGCTACTGCGTCGAGTTGCGTGAAAATAATATTATCGAAGAAACACTAAAGCCTTAACTTAATGAAGATCAGATAGGCAAGGAGCCTAAAGACGTATTATTGAAGTATTAAAATTAAATTTTGCATGCATAATCGCACAAATCGTATGCGATTGGTACAGATTAAGATACTTAAGTAAATACGTCTCTAGAAGCGACTGACGTTGATGCAGTGAGGCTTGTTGGCTAGTACGGGTTACCCATTGTTGTTGATTTCACCGAACTGTAACTAGATAATTCATTGTTGTTGTATAGAAATAATCGTTTGCCGATATTTGTTAAGTGTTATCGGATACCTGCATAGACGCATATCGCACATTCCATGTTTGTGAAGACTGCCAATTTGGTCTAAATTTTACAATCATTGTACTAATTAAATACCTACGATACGTCGATGAGATTAATTTCAATTGCCGTTATGGTCTAAGGATGCTGTGATTCTTCTATTGCATAATTTTAACGATATTGGATTAATAAATTATAATGGGATAATTATTAATATCTCCATCTGAAACTACGTAGGGCCTAGTCAAATCGAATTCGTTGTAATTATTAAATTAATTAATAATAAGATTAACGTTAATTTAGATATTTTGAAATTCTTCCATTGTAAATGTAACAATATTGCTTTGTTTTCCAGGAGTTATGAAACAAACATAGACAATATAATACGGGCTACGTGTACATCACACAACATATGAGATTTTATAGTTAGATAAATAACGAGAGAGTTCGGAAACCGGGTGCTTTAAATTTTACATCATGTTGTATGTATTGATTTCTTTAGCGATTGTTCTCTAGTTATACAAGGATATCATACGACTCGCTGCGGCCGGAGACCGCGCCCGGCGGCGCCTGCGCCTGCTACGCTAAAGGCAACGCAAGGCGAAGCTAGATCTTAAAATAAGAATTCTTTTTAACTTAAGTGGGATTTCTAAATGTGAAATTTTCAGCGGATAACACCAATTTAACAAAATTTTAAAAAATCGTGTATAGTGTTTTTAAAAAACAAGGTAGTATACCGGGTTGTTGTTGAATTAGCACGACGATGGTTCTAATCAATTGTTTGCACGCCGCTTCTCTCCTATCTTTCTTCCGTAAATTGATAGTCCTTTAGTCTTCCAGTTATAGCGAAAGCTTCCGTACATCGTCTTATTCTTGAAGCAGGAATGTAGGAACTATTTGTGATGAACTATGTCAATTATTTCATATTCCAACTCTGATCAGCTACGTAATGTTAATTTAACTGTTGTCTCCTCCGAAAACTGTAATAAATATATTTAGATTCTCGTCCTAGTTTGTCCAAATTCAATGGATGTGGTATAAATGTGAATCAGTAAATGCTGTGTTCTTAGGATCCCCTGCAAATTATTCTAGACTGTACTCGACCTATCATCAGGGTAATATTTTCAGACTTATTGCGATATTATTTGTCTTGGCTAAAATTCTTCCTTACTAATAAACTTGTCTAGAGTGAATCTACTAGATCTACAGTAGTAGTCAGGTTCAATACAAATACTAAAGCCTTTTGTTCTGAATTTTCAAGTTTATTTTCATGAGTGTTAGACGTTGGTACACGTTACGTCGAGTGCAGTCTCGTGCAGAGTAGTGTCCGCCTCCGTACTGTAGAGTGCCGCGGATGGCTCCCTTAGCGGTTAGATTGGTGATTCGCGCGACAACGAACACAATATTCTAAACATCAACCTCAAAACAATCTTGAGTTTCTCATTCATCAATATTGACCTTGACACAATCGTATGGTTTTATCTTTGATGATATCCCATTAAGTTAATTGTTAAGTATTAATATGGTTATTAAATTCAAAACTATCGAGCAAATAAATAGGGACAATGAATGAAAGATGTTTAGAACTATTGCATTCGTTGTCGCGCTCTTCGATGGCCCTAGAAAATGCATCTAAAATCTACGTTACCTATTGTTAATCAGTGTTATAAATCTTATCGTCTCGTTTAAGAGTTACAGTGTTGTATAGATCGGTACGTTTCATTTGTAAATTCTGAGATTATTCTGTTATTATTGTAAAGTTTCTTTGAATAAATAAAATTTTGAAATTTACATAATCGTTCATCTTGAAGTTTTATTTCAACACATTGCACAGACGCTACTTCTCGGGCAATTCAAAGTGTACGTTGCTCGGACCACCGCCCTTGCGGTGTCTGCTCCACATCTCAACGCTTCGAAAATACTTCTCCAAATGCTCATCCTTTACAGACAAATCTGTAGGGCTCATGTACCTGTTGTTCGTGGTACCGCTGAAAGCTCCATCAGAGTTGCAATTTGACTCGGACAAATTGCGCATCAATTCATAATGAGAAAAGTTCATCGACATGAGCGATGCGTTCTCCAGGCTTTGGTTAAAATTAAAACTTCTACTGGCATCCATGAACATTTCAATGGCTCCTTGCCTTGTAGAATCTGAATTAGTTTGGGAGCTGGTGCTGTACTCTCCACTGACGAGTTTGCTTTTCTTGAGTCTACCCAGTGCTAGGTCCAGCGAACGGACAGCGTCGTTCACGTACAAAGACTTGCGCTTCACCGCCTCACTTTTGAGCCTCGACGCAGCCGAGGGTCCACTATTACAAGACTTAGCTTTGTTCACAAACTTCTTGTCCTTATTGGGATCGTCATTATTTTCCATTTCGTTATTTCAACTGGGTAATTTAGATAATTATTTTCATTCTCAGGCACTCATCGCATTTTGACAAATAATGACATTACTGACCAAAAACCAAAGAGCAACGACTTTGTAGACCAACACGAATGACTGCAAGTTTTAAATACTTTAGTTCGAAATGCGCACCGATAGATGGCGCTGCTAAATATATCTGCAGCCCGAGCGACCCCTAGACAAGTGACGGTGAAGCGTCTACCCCTCGTGTGAGTCAAAGCATCCGCCAAGCGTAAAATAAAATTACTAGCGTGCGTCATTTTATTTCATCGTTCTACCACTAGAGGGCATAGCAAGTTTGAAAATGTAAGAATGGTTTGATTTAGGTAGTTATGTAATACTAGCTGACCCGGCGAACTTTGTTCCGCCTTAATGGCAATAAATAAGCAGACTTTTTTTTTATTTCGAACGGGATAAAAAGTATCCTATGTCCTTCTCCTGGCTCTAAACTACCTCCCTGACAATTTTCAGCTAAATCGGTTCAGCCGTTCTTGAGTTATAAGCGAAGTAACTAACACGACTTTCTTTTATATATATAGATTACTTATTACCCGACTGCGCCAGAAAAAGTGTTGAAAAGGGTTATTGTATTCAATAAGATATAGTACTATGTAGGTATGTGTTAAATTATAAAATAATTCAATTTATTAATTACTTTATCCAAGATAATCACCCTGTATGATTTTAGAAGGTAAGTAAGCATCGCATAGAGCTGCCGCGGTGGGCGCCAATGCTTCAATCTCGGCCTTCACGCCACTAGCCAGCATGGCAGAGAATTCTTGTTTTATTCGGGAACCTAAGAAAATTTCGGGAAAACACATTTAATTTTACTCCAAAACAATACTATCAGAGCGTTTTGATAAAAAGCTATCGCACAAGACAACAACCTATCCAAAAATTTGTATTTAGGTACCTAGAGCATTATCCAAGTATGGCCTTTTCAGCAGGGAGTTCAATTTTCGCCTGTCAAGATCGGTCAATGGCAGGCGAGCCTCAGCTGGTGCCAGGGTCATGATGTCATGGTGTCGTCCACCCAATAAAGCCAGGCTAGCACATGCGAGGGATGATGACAAGTGGGATTGTGCCTATGGGTTAAAAAACCATCAATTAGTTTCAGTTTTACCAATCAAGAAAAATGTTAAAGAATAAAATGTACCCAAGGATTATGAAGGAAAGAGAAGAAGGAGGAGATTTTAACCTTACCAAAGAGCCGTATTTATAAGTGAGGAATATCTCGAAGCCGTGAGGATCGGCGTCAACTAGAGCCAAAGCACGGAACTTTAGCTCAGAGCAGAGTCGGCACAGCAGCTGTCTTGTACATACGTCTGGGTAGCCTTTACCCTGAATAAAGTTTAATAAGTATAAATAAATCTTTGATACTGTGGGAGATTTCATTCATAATACTAGACTTACCGTCAAAATAATAACTGGTCCCAATCTAATCAAAGCACCTTCATCCAAAAGCTTTTGGAATATCGCATCTTTCTCTACCACGAGGATGTATTTGGCTGTTGACTTCAAATCTTTGAGACCTTCTATGTCTTGCGGTATGAGGACTCCTACGAATTACATTAGTAATTTGAATAGATTTGGTATCGCTAAAGGACTGCCAACTATACTACACTGTGTTAGGTATATCATGGTTGGCCATACTAAGAACATATCAGATGAGTGTAATGAATTGATAAAAACACGTAGTTGACTTCGCCCATTCTTTATTAAGATTGCTTTAGATAAGTTTTTTTTTAAGTTATCGTAACATTAAATGTAGCTACTTTACCTCCAGCAGCCATACAGTCCACGACAGATCCATCCCGATGGTGCATCGTCAGCGGGCCAGCCACCAGTCCCTTGGAGGTGGCTACTATGCCCAAACTCCACGGAGGAGTCTCCAACAGGCAACAAACGTCGCGGACCGCCACATCCAGGTTCGATTGGTTTCGGAGACGAGACACATTTTGGTAGAACAGTTCTCTGAAAGTAACAAAACATACATAGGTATAATGCTGGTAAGAAATTCATCAATTACATCGTAACTCAAAAAACTTAGTCAAAGGCCTACCTTCTAGTTACCGTCAGATTTTTTAACATCAGTTCATGTACTTTTGTTAGTACGAATACAATAATATTAAATCTCGTTTTATCTTCCTTGCTTGAATAGCACACTGTAGTCTTTTTCGCGTCGTTATACGATTTCAATGTTACTCTGGAAGAAAATACAGGTTTTCATCAGTATAAAAATGTATTTATTAATAATTCAAAAAGTATAAGTACTTTAATTTTGTATACCTATCCAAATCATAGATACAGTTGCTCCAAAGTCTTTGATTCCTTATAATCAGTTTAGGGTTTTCTCCAGCTTCAGCGCTTTGGTTAATTCCCGATAGAAGATCTTCTATCTTTTTTATTACTAATCTTCTATTATTATTTACTTCTTTTTGTACTGCTTTCTGGTCTCTATTTGTAGCTGAAAACCATGTTGTTGAAAATATTATTGTAATTTAAACTTATCATCCATTATCGCTCATGCATTATTATTACCGTTCAAAGATAACTTCAATAAGTCCTGAACTTCATTAAATTTAAGTTTTCGTTCTGGCAATACTATTTGTCCAGCATTGGTATCACACGATTTCATGTGATTACTATAAAATAACTTATCAATAGCCTCCACAAGTTTGAGATCTTGTCGAAATGTTCGAAATTCATTTGATTGCAGATCTCTTGTTAATTTATAAAAATCTTTATTCAACAAATCCATATTGTTCCGTGTGTCTGTGAACCTTTGAAAATCAATTAACAATCGACCTGATGGGTTTATTAAAGACGCCACCGGTAAAAGTGGTGATGATCCCTACCTACCTAGTGGCGAGATGTTTATCGACCGCAAACAATAACAGCACAAAACGGAGCTCGTAAAAGGGCCACGAGACAATAGGGCAGCGAAGTGTTTTTATGGCAAAGTCGAGCGAACAAGCGAGCGGGACCAAATCATCGCCGGTGGCACATCCTAGCGCTCTGAAAAAATGACACAATAGATGTAATCGGGAGATAGTCGAGGCAGGCGTCTCGAGGAGCAGATGACACGGCGTGACGACCTCACAAAGGGCGTGAAATGACGTCATAATAGCCTCGAATTATCGCCCCCTCTTGTCTCAAGGCAAATATTTAACAACATCCCCGTTTTTGTCCTCGTTCTTCGGCAGGAGACCATAAATTACGGACCACAGACAAATGATGCGGACCGTTACCGCAGCGCTTTGTTGCCAGTGACATATTGCAACGAGGTGATGTTTATGTCTTATTATGGACTTTGAGGTAACTTGGACCCATNACTTATGGTTTTGCTTGGTATTCTTGGCGTGCCACTGAACTTTGAGATTATCTGAGAAATACGATTTACTTTATGATTTTTTAGATTTTTTCAAGTTATTTTTAATTTTCGAATTACTTTATGATGTTGTAAATTAAATATTTGAACCTCTAAGGAACTAATAGATAGCTGTAATCCTGGCCTAAACATTATTTTTAAATTTTAGTTAACAGTATACAATCATGTGGCCAATTCTGTAACCTGTTGAAAAACCACTTGCAACTTTAATTACGCAACGGGACTTGAGGTGTGAGAAAACAACCCTTGCCACTTCCCATTGCATTGCTCCCCGAGGCGCCGATAGCATCGCTGTCAACCCGCACATAGAGCTATACAAATTGTTCGATGGCTTCTCCAATTGATTGTTGCAATTTTTATTGCGAACCCTTCCGCGAGCGTGACCGCGGGGAGGTGAGAACTCACTTATCTCCCGATCTGAGAATCTGGGCCTTTGACGACAGTGTGAAGGAACAATTCGTGAGGTCGCCGCGGGGTTGGCTTCGCCATTATTTTTTGTCGCCATTAAAGATGATATCTAGCTGATAAGGCCCACTGTTGTTATGATTTACTACGAGAGTAGTTAACGACTTTTTAGAAGCGAAGTTAAGGGTTGGGAATTTATTACAATATGGAGGTACTTTATTGATGTCGAGTTACGGGAATCCGTTGAACGTCAGCTAAAAATGCTTGCGAAAATAGCTTAAGAAATATCCGGAATAAAATTACATATTTCATTATTCATCAATTGCTGAAAAAATTGCCTGACTCTACAGTGGCATAGATAGGTATCTATAGCAGGTGGCTATTTCGCATTATCTTGTCCAGTAAATCGAAGTTCAAAAGCGAAGCGAATCGCAATAATCGATGTCTAACTCTTAGCCAAATCCCAGTGCAATCAAAAAAATATTGTTTTTCAAGTGTCGCTTCCCACAATATCTGCTCTCTCGTGCGGTCATCGGAGCGGCAAGGCAACGTTGTATTGTCGCGAGTGGCGCGAGCCGCGGGGCGCCGCCACAATGGACCACCATCCGACCCCGCGATGGCCGATACCACCGCCTAATTGAACGCTCAAACGTTATTTTAATACCTTGTTATTGAATTCAGATTGGGCACCAGTGAGAGCCGATTTGCCGCGATGCTATCTTGGCCGCTATAGAGTTTCAAATGCATCGGACTTATGGAATGCTGGTAATTAGGTAAGTTGGAATATATTTGGTTAATCATTGCACATAATAATAATGTAATAAATACCTAAGTAGGTACAAACCACAACATTTTCAAGGAATAGATACTTAGCTGAAAAAACCTATATTACCAAAAATAAATCACATCTCTGGTAAACTACTAGTACACGTAATTAGTCGCTACAAAAGTCCGGTAAAGTATTCACAATCAATAAATTTGCAATTCCTACTTCAATTGCCAAGTGAGTGAACAAAACCCAAGAACATTCTGGTTACTCCATTCGCAGAAATGTATCCACTTGCAAATAACCAATCCTAACCATATCCTAAGTATCGGTGTTCCCCAAGAGCCCACATTCCCACATGCGCGTACGCAACAGTTTCTCACATTCAAGTGTCTTTGTGCGCGAACAAAGCGCACAATCGCTACATACCTTCGCATTGCAGTTTGATTGTGCCTGAAGTGGCCTACGAGGCTGATCGACCTCTTTGCTATTGTTTCTTGCGGGAAACAAAGATGCCAATGCGTCCCTTTCTTTGTATTCTAATTGAAATGTTTTCTTTGATACTAATGGGGCACCGGTTACTTACTATTAAAATAGCATCTTTACACGCAAAAGAAAGATCTTATAGAAAACTTTATCTCTACATTCAGAAAAGTGACGTGTTGAGTCAGTTGGTCACCTTTGTGTAGTTTTAACACGATCATCAAGTAATTCCTTTTTGATGAAATAAATAAACCAATCTATCCAGACTTAAGCATGAGAGCAAATTGGAAGACCACTTCCCATCTCTGCAATTCATGTTGAAAACTTCGAGAGCAGAACAGAAATTCCCACCAACCAATCTCATTTAGGTTTTAAATTAATTTCAACGATCGTCAAACCAAAACTCATAACAGTAGCCCTCCGGACAGTAGAGTGGCGTCCCGTAGAGTCGCAATATTGCCGTCTCCTGTCTCGTTCCCACCCCGAGCCAGACATTTGCATAATAATGGCACTGTCACACACTAAACGATATAATTACAACGCACAGAATTAGATTTATAGCCGAAAAACAATAGCGCTCGAGTGTGCTCCACCCTTTATGTTGTTTTAGAGAATGGTGACGAATGCGCCGCTCATTTGGGGAGTAATTAATACGAAAGTTCTCATAATCCGAAACAATTATGACTGTTCTTTATGAGTTCGGTTAAAAAAGTAAACAATGAGGTGACCTTTTGTTGGTAAGTTTTGTTTTTTACGCTTTTTATGTTTTGATGCATTTGATTTATTCATCATTTTAATTTAATTGCTACTCAAAACTTTGCTCATTGTCTACGTAATGTTTACTATTAAATTAATAACTAGTTTTCGAGAGTTTCTTACTCCTTAGGTTCTATTGCAGAGTGTGAGTAGACATTTATTATCAACTGTTAATCTTAACTTGTGACAGTTTGACAAATAGGAACAAGATAAATAGGTGTGCTAAGGAAAATATCTTAGAAATATATTATTATCGTTAGTCTAAAATGCATCGTTTGATTAATTTAAATTGGAAAGTATAATACCTATTTAATAAATTTATTTCTTACTTGAACATACTTAAATATCAAACATTCATGTCAATAGCTAATGCTAATTAAGGACTAATTAATGGAAAGCAATTAATACAAGTACTAATTAATAAAATGCAAACGAACAAGGTGTAAATGGAAATATCCCTAGTAATAGTCCTAATAAAGTCTTAGGATCATAATGTAGCAAACTTATGGCTGCCACCTCGGCTAGACTGCAACGTACAGGTAACTATTAATGTAAGTAAAACTAAGCAGTTGTAAGATGTTACAAAGTAAGGTGTATCTTACACAGCTTGCTCGTAAAACGGGCATTAGAAAATGTATTAAAATAAATATTTACCACACATTTTAGTGTGCCATACCAAAGGACTTATCTACGGAAGCAGACACTAAAGCTGAGCGTACTCAGAGCCGACCACCAATATACTGTGGAATTTTGTAATGGCACCTGAATGAAAAGTACTCTTAATACTGTAGATAGAAAATTTTACTCAAAGAACACATTCCGTAATTTCTGAAAAGAAAGAGAACTGCATTAAAAGGTTGCCGGAAATTTCTGAAAATCACCGTTACACCATTTTTGCAAATAATTCTTCGATGATCGTTCAAGTTTGTTGAGAGATTTCGTCCCTAACGATCGACGCAATCTACTGGCTGTAATTTTTAACAAATAGTCGTATCGATTCCCGGGTGTGGCAAGAGAATTTTCTGAAATATTTGAATACAGTTTTCTTTCTTTCACAATCTTTGAGTAAAATTTTCTATTCACAATATTTAATATAGGTAAGAAGTTCTTAAGGTGCCATTACAAAATTCCACCCTGTGTAGTCGATACTACTTAAATGTTTAATTAAGTCACACACGGGACAAATAGCTGTTTATATAGGCTTAAATTAATAACATGTATCTAAGTAAGATCGAATTTTAGAAATAAAAAAGTACTTAAGTAAGACTGCTACTTAAACAGTGTCACTAAGCTAGTTAATAGAGTTTTATTTCCCGCGCAAATCCCTCAAATATCGTTGTTATTCCTGTCACATATCATGATGAGAACTGACATGAGGACAGGTGTGTCGAGTGTGATTGCCACTTGCCACCGACTTATGTAAATAAACTGCAATTTGTTGCATTAGAATCGTACGCGTCGATCTCGTCCAATTATGCAGAGCGTTGTTCCTTGGGTTAAAAGAGTTCGTATGCTAATACATAAATTGTACTCGTAATGCGGATCAATACGACGCAGGCTAGTGACTTGGTGTAAGATAATGTCAATACTACTACGTGTAATAAAATAAAGAGCTTGAATTTTTACAAGTTAGGTTCAATAATCACAAAAAATACAAAACTAAGATAATTTCCAAGACCGGTATAAATAATGTTTAAAATTAAGTATTCCCCAGAATAAAAATATGTAATAATAAAAAAAAGTTTATTAATGAAGTTTATACAAACGATTTTCAATCTATTTTATAGCCACGATAGCCCAAACGGTGAAGTGGTTGGACTGGCCGACTCGAGATCCG